CCATAAAACCACATAGCGTTAACCTCACGTTAAAAAAATTATCGCCGTTAAAATGGCCTCGCGTTAACGCGATAATAACGCGATAATTCTGACAGCACTAATGCATATATATATATATATATATATATATATATATATATATATATATATATATATATATATATGCACATTTACAGATTGAAATTGTATGCTTCCAAGTGCTTGCATAGTTGGCTGTTAAATCTACACACGTTTTAGGTGTTCTTTCTACAAAAGCCACATTGGAAAGACAACTGTTGACTAGAGGCAAACTGTAAAAAAAGAAGGTAATTTTAAAGAGGCAAAGGAAGCAGAGAAAAGATATGAGGTTTAGCTGTTTGGTTTAGGCCCTCTACCAGAAACACCAAGCATCTGTCGCAATGCAACGCTGGACAGAGATCAGGAATGAGGGGAATGCTTTTAAATGAGAGGAAAACAATAACACAAAGAGACCTAAAAGGTGGTTAGGCTTAAAAAACAGCTTAACTAAATGAGATGCAGGGCAGCAGCAGGAAGAAGAGGGGGGCGGATGGGAAACTTGGCAGAGAAGAGGTGTTGATTAACAGGAAAGAGGTGAAGTCACACTTCTCAGGTTTTTCCCTCACTCTGTGTTTACGTGCTCTGTAGTAGTCCTGTTACTATCAGCTTTCTGCACAGACTGGATTTTCCTAAACAGGCCCTCGGAAAACAGATGGCTTCTCTGGCTTCGGATTTCATTAGTTCACCGAGGAATGCTCCGGATCCGTCGGCCCAACTACCGCTCCGCGTGTCAGAGGATCACTGTGGATGTGCGGCTTTGCGGGGATGTCTGAGTGTGTCTGTCTGCATTACTGCAACCGCACGCAGAGTAAAGGATTATAGGGAGGCACTTTATTCCAGGAGGAAGCTAAGAGTCAATATTCATCAGGATTGATGTAAGAAAAACTGAAGTCCTGCTTAGAATTTAACAGCAATAAAAGCAGCTTGGTGAGCTGAATATAATTTACTGGGGAATCATTTACAAGCAGGTTTAACAGAGTAACAGAGAACCAACAGGTTCAACAT